TGGCCAGTCAAGAGAAAAGGATTAGGGTTGACATGATAGCAATATTCCAGTATTTGAGGGGCTGCCACAAAGAGGAGGGGATCAATTTATTTTCCAAAGCCCCAGAAGGCGAGACAAGAAACAATGGGTGGAAACTAATCAAGGAGATATGTGCGTCTTATGGTCAGGTGCGTCTTATAGAGCGAAAAATACGGTACATTTATTTGTCCTTCTTGCAAATGCTCAGTTGCCCATAAGCTAAAAACGTTGGGTCTGTGCTTTCATTGTTCCAGCTTTTCCACAGTTAAGATCCATTGGTCAAGAATTATGGTATCATGCTTTTTCTCTACAAAAAGATCAAGAATGGGGGAATAGAATCTGGAGAAATGCCCTTTTTGGTATCATTTCCAACTCCAAAAAGTCTGAACATATGTGTGTCAAAATTACATATATTTATACCTCTTCCAGTTTTAAGTGGAATTAATTACTATGAATTTTATTTTCAATCCTTTTTATTTTCAGTTCCTTTTTAGCATACAGTTTCCCTCTTGAGCATTGGCTATATGAACTAGAGTGCTCAATTTTCAAAACAAAATATTATACCCCATGAAATGTGAATCAAATTGGAATATATTTAATGTGAATCTAAATAAAATAAGATTCTCCAAGGTATTTAATGCTTACTAAAATTCCATCATAATGCATTGATTAAGTAGGTAAAAATTCCATTCCCTCTGAGGATATTTTTATATTTTGACTGCAGGTATATACAGTATTTAAATACATTTCACAAATAGATGTTTATATGATATTGGCAGTTTTATTTACAGTTCTTTTCTCTTTTATTTATTATATGCAAACTGAAAAGAAAAGTTGAGAGTTAATTTTTAAATTAAAAAATACGGTAATTGCATGATGTTACAAGATTCATTATCTAAATATTTTAGTTAATAAAAAGATGCATCTTTTTATTAACTAAAATATTTAGATAATCTTGTAATATTATGCAATTAATATTTAAATTAATTTTAACAGTAACAAAATGGGAAAATAAGGATTTAAGTTGGGGGTTTGGGGGGTTGATACCTTTAAGTCAGTGTTCAATACTGGTGACTGCCTAGACTATACCCTGCAGTTTTCCTGGCTCTCATAAATGAATATATGTAGCCCCTACAGTATTTTTAAATAGCCTTTGGAATAGAAATTGTGGAGGCAAAATACTTGTTCAAATAAAGTTAGAAATGAGAGAGATGTTTTCTAAAATAAGCCTCTAGAACAGTGCATTGAATTTTCTAAAATCTAATCTAAACTACGTTATAAAATATCTGTTGCAAAACATTCACTTTAAAAATATGATTTCACTTCAATTGCTCCATTTCAATTAAGCTCCTTATATAGTAATCTGTCCAGATCTATTGATAGTACTGTATTTTTATATTTTGAATTCCGCTTATATAATCAGAGATATATATTTTAAGTACTTTCATATTGCCTCTGGATGCCATTGAAACCATAGCAAAAAAAAATAAAATCTGATTTTGACAAAGCAGTAACAGTCTAAGGCATCGGTTCAAAATTATGCTAATTTCTGTTATATCTAGAAAAGACTCCCAAACCATCACTAGATTCAGACTGGTTAAACCAAGGGATCACCAACAAATGATGCTTCTCCCCTGCATGTGTCCAGCCAAAAATCCTACTTCCTAACCGCACTCACTAAAAGTTTCAAACAAATTCCACAAAGGGAAAAGAGGGCAAAGAAGCCATATGCAGGAGTAGGCAACCTTGGCGCTTTTATGACTCATGGACTTCAACTCCCAGAATTCCTGAAGTCTATTGAGTCATATGGGAATTGGAAAAGTTCAATTTGGATTTTTTGAAAAAGTAAAAAAAAAGTATAACCTTAGGATTTTTATTAAAATTTTAAAATTTAGGAAAGGAAAATGACAGAACTGAAATATATGTAATGGCATGAAACTTATTTTCTGTACTGCTTCTGTGCGCAGGGCTGACATTCCAAACTGTTCGCCATACAACCTTGAGATCCCTTTCTGAGAAGCTCCTCTGTCTACTCTCCCAATATTTGTGGGTTTTCCCATATCTGTCACTTGACAGGGCTTCTACTAAAACCTTTGTTTACACTTTAATCACTATTTCATAGTGAGTAATACATGGATGACACCCTGAATCCTCAGCAGAATGAGCATGCCTGTTTTGGGGTACTTTAACAGGAGATTTCCGTATCTTATTTGCTGGTGTCATGGCCAGGGTACTTTAGTCCTCCTTTGTGACCTAGGGGACATTTTCTTACCCTGTCTCCCTTTCTCTGTCTCTTGGAGACTGACAAACCTGATGTTAATGTAAAAAATAAATTTGTCCCATCAACAGCTTAAGCTTCAGACAAAATACTGTCATTGAGCAAAGTTCACAGAACAGGTTAAGGGAAATAAGCAGCCATCCTGACTTCTCTAACTCAGCCCAATTCAAATTACTGTTTTCGAAGTCAGCCAGACACAAATAATGCCATAAGATCCATGTTAATAGAATAGCTTCTTGGCAGTTCTTAGAACGGTGTAGGCTTGTTCATCGTGCTACTGGACTATTGGGTAAGAAATCATGGCCTTTCAACATATCTTCTTATGCTTCAAGGACATAGTGATGTTCATAGAGTACAGTGCAAGTGCTCATATTCTGACAAGGTTTTCAGAGATACTACTTAGAAAGATTTAAATCAAACCTACAGGCCTTTCTCCCCAATCACAGCTATTAAAATGCGTGATATCTCCCTCATTCTACTCCAATTTTAAAGAAACCGATTACCCTTTTGTTTTCAAACCCAAGGTCAATATTCAGAAAAGGAACAAAATTAGATTATATCGTTTCTCTTCCCTCTTTTCTGCTCCAGTTAATCAGCACGGATAATATTTTGATCAGAATACAGTATTAAGAATATGTGTCCGTATGCATATTCCTTCCCTTCAACTTTAGCTGAAAGTTTGACTACAGCACAGGAGATGTTACTGAAATACAGTACAAGCATTTTCATTAGTGAATATTTAATAACGTACGGTACATTTTAATTATATATTTTCTGTCTTGCACACATTCACATTCTTCTTTGATAAGGCTGCTTGACGAGGTCCACAGTATACTGTATATATCCGGTTTCTTTAAATCAGTTCTATGGAAATGCAGAAAGAATAATTGGCTTTCTGGAGCTGGTTGAACTAATTGAGGGTCTCACATTATTCTGTAACAACCTAAGCAATAAGTTGCCTCCTTTGTCTGCTTGACTTTGAGAAGTAACTGAAAAGCAGAGGTTTTTGTTAGTCATGTTAGACTTTCAGAATCCTATGCTATCTTTGCAGTGCTTGAAGAGTTACTGCTAAGAACTCTGTGGAATGGTGGGAATGGTGTTGTGCTATGCATGTTGGTTATTGATGCACTGGCAACAGTTGTTCATGCCCTTGTCACTTTCATGCTTGAATTACTGTAATTCAATCTACATAGGGTTGCACTTGAAAGCCACTCAAAAGCTGCAGCTGCACAGTGCAGCTGTCTGTGTGTTTAATGGGTAAGAGCCTTTAAGTCTGGATAATATCTCGATGCTGGAAATACATTGGTTCCAGGTACAAGTCAAGAGAATTGGGCAGCATATGAAACGATGAGGCTGGTTATTATGTGTAAACTGTACAAGCCTTGGGTCCTACATAGGTAAATCTGGTCCGTTCCAAGTGTGGACTGGCTGGGATGGTATGCTGCTGTCTTTGTGTTTACTCTCTGGAAGATACAGGGTGGGTACCAGAAGCTAATGGCTTCCTCGTTCTGAAATCAGTCTAAAATTAGGATCACTGTCTTCTATTGACATTCAAGAATATTATTAAATGCTCCGGTGTTATTTGGTGATTTGTTGATGTTGCTGAAGGAGATTTTTTTTTATTATTAGATCAAAATATAATTGTTCTACTGTATTTCATTATATTGTAACCCTCCTGTGATCTAGGACTGCAGTAGCCTGGAAATAGTAGCAGATGAACAATTAGAAGAATGAATGCCCCTCTTTCTATATAATTTGTTTTAACACTGCTCTCTTTTTAAAAAAAAATATTTACTGAATATGTTTTCTAAGCATACTTTGCATACTTTCCTTGCTGCTTTATTATACTGAAAACAAAAGGGGGGGGAAGAGTCTATCTTGTGGAAAAAAATGTGTACTAATTTTGCATATCTAAAATAAAACTCAAGATTGGATGCTATCATTACATATTAAACCAAAGAGTGAACAGTGTTTGTGTTGATTTCAGTGGTTTTAGATAAATAGATTTGTAGCCTAAAATATTCATTTTATAATGTGTCTTTCCTTTCTGCATAGCAAGTCTTAGAAACCATGACAATATTTCCATTCCATGCAGGCATTCCTCAGCTCTCACTGAAAAGAGAACCCAGTTTGTTTCCATAATAGTTTTAAGCAACTTTAAGATTAGTGAAAAATCTGTCATGGAAACATCATTAAGCACCCTCCTGTCCAGCGTGGCCATTTTATATATCTTGTACTTAGATACATAATAGGAGATTTGTACTATTAAATACAGCCTGGAGTCCTGCAAAACTACTGTGACTAAAAGTATGTAAAGAATTATATGAAAGGAAATGCAGTGGTTTAAAGAATACTGTTTTTATAAGAAAGCACATATTTAAAAGTTACTGCCTTGCTTTTTTTTTTTTGTTGCTTTCCCAGCATTTATAACTTGCATTGAACTTGTAGTAGAAAAGCATTCTCATAATTTTGCCTGCAGGAGTATTTTTCTTTTCTTTTTTTAATTCTTTCTTCTTTATATGCTGTTTTTTTTCTTTTTCTTTTCTAGCTCCGACAATTAGTTAACATCTGCATCAACCCAGATCCAGAGAAACGACCAGATATAACCTATGTTTATGATGTAGCAAAACGCATGCATGCCCACACAGCTACCAGCTAAAAGACTTGCCCTGTAGGAGGAACAGCAACAAGTTGTGAACATTTAAACATTGATATGCTTTCTCCCCAATTTTTTTATTATTGTCTATTGCTTTAAATTTACTTATGTGCCAAGAATATAGTCACACCTTTGTTACAGAATTTACAAGTAAAGACTACTTATATTTTTAAATTTTAAAGTATGAAATAGTTTTAAACATAGGTAAATTGTTACAAATTAGAGTAATTGCAAGTCATTTATATGCTATACAGTTATTGAATAAAGAGGAAACATTTTTATATAGTTTTAGCTTTTGTACAACATGTCTGAGTTGCAGGTTTTATAGGAAGATAACTCTTTAATTTCTGCACGCAAAATTTTAAATCTTGAATGTTGTAATAATGTATGGATATGAATATGATGAAAGCATAATTACTGAATTTATTATTAATTAGAAAATTTATTGTTGGTTTTATTTCTACCCCTCTCCCAGGAATTTAAAAAAACATTTTTAAAAAAATAATGTATAGTTTTGCTTATCAAAAAATGTATATTTATTCGACATTGAGCTTTAAGTGAAAATGTGGCTTTTTTATCTGTTTTTTTGGCATATGGTCCCACACTGGGGAAACAAAGGAGAAGAAATCTGGTCAAATTGTTTGTTGTCTAGTCTTGTACTGTATTATAATCCCAATCCCTAACTTTGATTTCAACAACAGAGAATTTGCACAATGTCTAGGAGTTAGAATCAGTCATCAGGTTAGAAGGGATGTTGAGGATCACCTGATCCAGTTCCCTTCTTCATTTGTACCACAGGTTTTCTCTACTATCTCTCTGACAGATGGCTTAAATAGAAAGGAGCACTTAATGATTCCCAAGTCAGCTTGTTCTACTGCCCTAAGGTTCAAGTTTGTAGCTGTAGTGTGACCATTCTCCAAATCTGTGGCTACTAAGGGTAAACTCCAGTTATAAATTAGTTTTCATGTCAGTATTACATTGCTAAACACATACAATTAGTGCACTAGTAGAGAACTTAACTTTGGGCTGGATAGTTATGTATTTTAATTGCATTGGCATAGATGACTCCAAGAACCTAAGAGATTGGGGTTTAAAAGAAATTTGCTTTGAAGAACAGTATTTCCTACACATTGGATGAACAAAGTATACTTTCCGAGCCGTGAAATGTAGTTTCTTCATAGCAACATCCGGCCGTTGCTGAAATAATATAAAGCTGTCCACATTACTGTTACTTTGGCACTCTGAGGCTTGGATGGCTATAGAAAATATTACAGAAGTCGCAAAAGGCGTTATGTGTGGGAAAATAATCCCAAGATATTTGAAATATGAGGGACACTTAAAATAAATGACCATCATTTGGAAGATCCTTCAAATTATTTACATAGGATAATGTCTCCATATGCTGTGACTCATAATGCTGAATGGAGGCCATTGTGTATGTTTGCTTATGCAATTGGAGCCTAATGATAAAGTTATATTAT